CCGTATGAATCCGTATGAAGCTTTCAGAATGTGCTCATAGTTGTTCATCCTTCGCTACGAAAAAAATATCAGACCCGTAATACTTACCACGTCCCTSCAATAAAGAATATGCCAGCCGATCACTGTCAACGATGACTCTTTCAATACGGTAGGGCATCAGTCATACTTATCAAGTACTCGTACTGACATATCCGTGGAGAACATAAAGGAGAACTATTTCTCTTGATTCCGAAATGATAGTCTCAAAATACCAAAATGTTGCATAGTACAACTCATCTACCCTATATGATGCGAAGGGGGGACAATAATTTCTGAGTTAGACCAATCCCCAATTGAAGGTGAAAAGAAGAATTAGTAGTAGCTCCAACACTCATTTTTCCATCTATTGAAATATTTGGTAATTTGGTACGATGATTACGATTGAGTGGGTGAATCAGTCAACTAATATGGGGTACGAACCGTAGTCTCACGTTCCGTTCGTAATCATTCTTCTCTTTAGAAAGAACAAGAAAAACAAGAGAAAAAGCAGCATCCAATAAAACGAGGCAAAYCGTTCCCTACCAAACAGTAAATAGTAAGGTATGAAAAAGAACGCAACGCCACACCAGGAAAGCAAGCAAGAAGAAGAAGCTCGTGAAAGGAAGAACAACACGAAGAGAATGATGAATTCAAAGCTTGGGACGCCAACGTAAACAATACTACGGTACTACAAAGTCTTGGATAATTATTCACACGAACGTAATACGTACTTCGTAGTACAGTAATAGTGATAGTAATAAYTCTTGTCCTTTCGAAAGTACTGTACCGTACTTCTAGTACGAAGTAGATCTTACAACGTCACAACTTATTACTAGTGACAGTAGTAGTAGTATTAGAAATACCTTGTCGATCAATCGAAGACCTAACTTCGAAAAAATGAACGCGGTCATGCAGTGTTGGGACAACATAATCCGACGATCCAATGGTACAGAGAATCAATCTGTTCAGAAAAGTTGGATTGGAAGGGAAGCATAGGTGATACTAATACATACCGGTACGACTACACAAAAAAGACTTTTCGGATGGTACGGTACGTACGTACTCGGTTCTCGTACGGTTCTAGTAACCTGCGAATCATTTTTTCGTATGACTTACAGTACGTACGGTAATGCTGCAACAAAAAATCCGAACTTGACGGCAGCGGTCATAAATTTGTAACCCCTCCATCTGAAGTCTAATACGATTTTACTTAAATCTATGTTTACGGGAATGACCCATTAATCAAGTTGGTCGGTACCACTGTAAAATGTACCGGTACCATACGGTAAGCAATTTTCTTGTGGTGGGGTAATAAGTAAAAAATCCGTCGCGCGCCCCTCTAACTGTATGACCCCTGCACTGTACCTGGTATCGTATCGTACGTAGTATGTCTCATAATGTTCTTTCACTCGTAGACGAATCGTGATTTAGGCTCACAGATTGATCGTGTTTTCTTTTTCGGAGCAAACAGGAGTATACCATTGGACCCACAAAACGCATTGGTTGCTCTCGAGGAACCCTCTTCTCTGGCCATTAAACGCTTGGTCTTACGGCACCAGCTATCAACGCCTGCATCCCGAAAAAGATCGATTCAGCTGTACAGCAAGCGATTTGCTTMCCAACGAGCGTAACAGGCATAAAAACGGAACTTGTTGGAACAACGAATCCGCACCAAAACCTGATCAAGACACAGAAACGCGATCGATCGATCGATGCGTGCAACCATTGAATGTTTGCGAACACACCATCAAGAGCGAGATTGAGACCTACCAATGGTTTGTTTTCTGTCTATGTCATAGAAGACGAAGGCAGCGCCGTTGTCGGCAATCAAGATAGAGACAACCGCCGGATCTCCGACAGCAACAAAAGATCAAAGGGAGCAGCGGGAACACCAGAAACCATGTATCGTCCACAGACCTTCCGAACAACAAAACCACCACCAACCACAAGAAATCCTGGAGCAGTCGAAGGTATAGAAGAGAACAGCATCAAAAAGAACGATCACAGAGACGATGTGGAAAGCATCTTGCAAGACGATTTTGACTATATCGAAAATACCTACGGTAATAGTATCATTGATGACACTGGCGAAGGTTACGACGGCCGCGAGCGCAAAGATCGACCGGCGATGAACTACACGCTGGAGCCTTCTTTGGCAATGGGATGTTCGTCACTGCCCTTTGGAAAAACCAGGTACGACTATGACGGAACGCGGCAGCCACGGCGTTCCTCTCTGAAGAGGCCCGCTCGCAATACCAACCGTAACAGCTATGAGATTCCCGCCATCCACCATTCAAACGAGCACCACGGAGGGAGCCGCAGCAAGAGCCCGGATTCGACCCGGAACACCCTCAACGGCGTTCACGGAAGCACRCACATTGTCCGTGTAAGGAGGAGCCTCTACCCGGTCCAGCGCCGGCGGTCCATCCAATTCCAGCAGGAGGCCATGGTGCAGGAAGTGACCCCCGCTCTGAAATTGGTGGGCGAAAACAATCGGCGGGAGTTGTGGTTGCAGGACGATGAGGTCAGGGCCATCAAAGAACGAAGGCGGTCCCTCGTTGGGAAATACAAGGAGGCGCAAAAACAGAAACAGGTGGAGGAGAGCAGGACGACCAGGCAGGAACACGATGGCGAGCTCAATTGCAATACCGACGCAGACAATAGCAAACGAGTTAGTACCAACAAGATGAAAAAGATCCATCTGAATCCAATCTGCATRAATCTTCTGAATGCGTTGGCCTCCTCGWTGACACAAAACAAAAGAAGTGCGGCTTCGTCTTCGTCTTCTGCTTCTTTGCCATCCTCGGCTGCCGGGACCAGCAGGAGGAAACATCCAACCTCTCGGAGGACAGTGATCAAAACCCCTGGTTTCCTCTCCCCGCCACCTTCCGCACAACAACAACAACAACAACCCGAGCTAGATCACCGATCTCCCTCCGCCTCTTCGATCGGCAGCAGCGCGAGCGGCAGCGACACCGATTCTTTGCGGGGGCTCGAAAAGTACATTGATCGGAGCGGCAAGCTCCAGAAGAAGGAGGTCTGGAACGCCGTCCTCCTCGAACAGGACGAACAGGAGCAACTAGGCTACTACGACGACGAAAAGATCGCACACCTGTACAGGAACATACTCATAGAGCACGACGCACAGAAAACCGTTCTGGACCGGGCTCGGAAGGACCGAATCGCCGCCGATAGCTACCTGATGACTCCCCGAACGATGAAGCTCATGAACAAAGTGACAATGACGCACGCGCCGGTACTGGATGCCGAGAACATTGTTCCCCTGGCCATCAACGAGCTGCAGCCAAAGCAAGATTCGAGATTGTTGCAAACCAAAACCAAAACAGCAACAATAGAAGGACCACCTTCGAGGCAGTTGAGCGATTTCGAACACAGCAGTTACTACAATATTGCAACAAGCTGTGGTAGTTGCGACGGCAGCATTTACCAAAGAGAACCGCGGAGAGTATCGGTTTGAATTACTACTACTAACCGAAAGTTCGAGGTTTTCGAAAACTATGGGTAATCAATACTTTACTAAGATTAAGGTTACTAATTTAGCGCTAGCACTGCGAAATGCTGATAGGCTCTCTAGTGTATGATAATACGTGGTTTACAATAAAGAGTGAGTGGATTGCTGTCACTCACTATCTACTCGTGATTTACTACGTGGTACTGTCTCACACCACCCCGCACTTGCAGAATCTAGGGACTCATTTGATTCAAATTTACACTGTTGCTGACGTAGTAAATTTTGAAGAGGGTCTAGATTCCTGCAAGTGGAGCAGAATCGTATACTGTTAATTGTTGTGTTATCTGCCGGTAAAGTAGCCTCATCGTCATCAAATGAGGTATGTTGGGTGGCTGACAAGCGAGGGTATGTGTAGGTCGGTCGTAGGCGACCCATGAAAATATCAGAGTGTTCTAGGAATTTGGTTCTTCCAGTTGGTTTGCTCAGTGAATCACTGTAGTTTTCATCGGATCGTGTTTCAATGAAGTTGATGTGCTCATCATCTGTCCATTGTAGTATAACAAAGTGTTTCATTTCAACGTGTCGTGTTCTCCTAGTTGGTTGGTGTGCATTTGCCATTCTGACTGCACCATGGTTGTCAGCTATGATTGGTGTTGATTTTGTTTGTGGAATCCTTAGCTCCTCCATGATCCAGCGTAGATACAGGGCTGCTTTTCCAGCGTCTGCCATGTTAGTAAATTCTGCTTCTGTGGAGCTCTGGGCTATGGTTGGCTGTAGTCGAGTCCTATAATACACTGCAGCCCCTGCCAGCATCATTATTATCCCACCCATGCTTCTTCTCTGTAGTCTATCAGAGGCCCAAGTAGTATCGCATGATCCATGTATCTGTAGGGGGTCCATGGATTGGTAGAATTTAGCGAGTGTGGTGGGGTCTGTGAATGGAGTAGGTAGAGGGGTCTCTGGGAGGTCCAGTCGAGGCTCTGGGCGCCAGTATGTGAGGCCTTCCTTCTTGGTGGCCAGTAGATAGAGAAAGAGCTGTTTGATTGCTTCATAGTGTATTTTGGCAGGCGAGTGTGAGTGTTGACTAAGTGTTATTACAGCAATGGAGATATCGATTCGGCAAATTGTGAGGGCATAGATGAGTTCTCCTATGCACTGTCGATAGTTAAATCCCAGTGACTGCTGCAGTTTATATGCGTCTATTGGATCTGTGGGTCCCTCTGACAGCTGTATCTGTTTTTGGTAGACTGCATTTTCATTCATTGGAGTGGGTCTTTTTCGAGTGCGGTGTTTAGCATCATCTAAATTCCAACCATGGTGAGCTGCTATCTTTTCAATGTAAGTGCAGCAGTGTAAGTGGTTGTAGTGTCTGGTTTGATTCACATGAATGCCATTGAATTTCCTGATGGTGCCGAGTACATTAAGGGGGTTAGCCATTCTGTCCTGGATTAGTTGTCGTATGTTATCGCAAACGGATTCATCAGTGTTAGCTATTAGGAAATCATCAACCTGTCTAAGGATGAGTGTTAGTCCTGTATTGTCATGTTTATAGTAAAGGCATGGTTCATGTGTTGTTGTTTTGAATCCCAGGTCGTTAGTGAGGATGCCTGTGATATACTTATCCCACAGTCTTGGTGCCTCCGGATGGCCTTGCAGGGCTTTTTGAACAGGGATAACTTGGTTAGGTTGAATAGGATCATTGTGGAGGCATTCAGTCCACCATTGTTGAAAGGGCTCATCTACTCTCATATAGAATGGGGATTTGGGTGGTGGCGCCTCTGCGAATGCATTACCAACGTCATACCCCACACAGATGAGGTTAAGTGCTGCCGAAAGTGCCCATGTGAGTCTATGAATAGGCTGTTCTACGCATGCTGCATATGTTTCAGCGAGGGTAACTGCCTTGCCATAGCGTTTGCCTCCATTGCATGTTCCCCGTGATTTGGGTTCGTTAATGCCTGTCAATGGGTTCTCTTTTTCAATATATGTCCAGACCCATGGTAGTATTGTCATGTCTGTGGTTGCATTAACTGGATCACCAAACATCCCTACTTTATGGTATCTATTAAGCTGCTTCCATTCGGATTGAAGGAATCCATCCCATTGCGGTGTTTGCATTAGTTTTCTCCGTGTTAGTTTCGATATTTGGATCTGTGTTGCTGTTACTTCAGGGGAATCAATTGCTTGCGGCCATTCCTGTTTATTTTGCCAAAGGTCTTGTTCAAAGTTGAGGGAATGGAGGTGATGAGCAATAACATTCAGTTGGTCAGCCTGAAGAGTAGGGACCCCTTCGCCACTAAGTGCAAAGCCAGTGAGGGATCCAAAGGTGAATTTTATGGTGGTTCTGTGTGTTTGTTTGGCATGTTTAATGGCATCGATGATATCCTGTCTGTTATGAATGGCTTTATTATCCACTGTTGTTATGATGGTTCCTCGTAGTCTTCGTTTCCAGCCTCTAATTCTCGTGTGGGCTATAGTTCCTGGCTGGATGGCTGTTAATTCCACCGCGTTTGTTATATCCGGATGGCTACTCACAATAAAGCCCATGGTAGGATGAATGCTGTTAGTGTTTTTGAGGGGAAGGGTATGCGAGGTTTCCTGTGTGTACATGTTAGTTGATATATCGAGTGTCTCCAGTTCCGGAATAAGCTTGGTGATATCAGGTCTCTCAAACTTAACCCGAGTGATCTGTGCTGTCATTTTTGCCATCGCTGCTGTATATGGTATCGGTGAGTCGTTTAGTATCTCCTGCACTATATGTTCTGGATTTTGTTGTCGAGGGTCAGTGAACTGGAGTTTAACTGGATTTGGGGCCTTATTAGTAGTGTGCTCCATGTGATCGCCTTCAGTGAATGTTTCTAAAAGGTGTGATGCTGCCGGTGAGCGTTGGTTTGGTGTATCTCCATATTGAAGTTCATCTTTAGAGTCGTGACGGGCTATTTTGTCTGTTCCTGTGTGGATATCAAAGTATTTTATATTGTCAGTAGTGCGTCCATATCCAAGGAAGATTCCATCATAGGCCCATGGGTGAGTCGTTGTTGGTCTTGTTCCTGGTCTTTTTGCTGTTATTTTTGCACCAAATGTAATGAGGTTGTCCACTAGAGGGATACGTCCTGTATATAGTTGCATGGGAGTCATATCTATTGCACTGTGGTATGTGCGATTGTATAGCCATGTAGCATGAAGTAGAGCATCTGTCCAGTATTCTGTTCCCAGGCCAGCTGCATACAGCAAGCATCGAATGCGTTCTTTAAGTGTCCGGTGTGGACGTTCTGCTAATCCATTTTGGGAGGAGGCATCAGCGGCGGTGGTGATGACATCATATCCATGTTGTTTTGCTGTGTGTCTGAACTTGGTTGAGTTTGCGAGTTCCCCGCCTCCATCAGTCATGATTGTGCAGTCCAAATGTTGGGGAAGCAGATCGAGGAAGTAGTCCTTGTCTTCCGGTGTTACATTGTACGAGTGTTCGTGAGCTGTGTGTCGAAACGCTCGTGAGCGTGCAAGATAGCCATCTTTGGTGGTTGTAATGATAGCTTTGTTTGGATTGGTTGTTTTGATTCCATGTTTAGTGAGGAATTGGTCCACGATCTTCAATGGGGGTTCCTTTGATTTGAGTGGGATGGTCCAAAGTGCTCTGGTAGCCGCATCGATGATGGTGAGGAAGCCGATGTGGCCTTGGCGGCTCTTCTTGAGTGTTGGGAGGGGTTTGTCATTGTTGGTTAGGATGCCTGTAAGGTTTGGGGGTCCACTGACAAAGGAGAGGTCCATGTGCAGGGATTGCATGGGGATGAATTTTTCTTTCGGTGGTTTGCGTTTACCAGAGTATTTAGTCATCTTGCTCTTCTCGCAAAATGGGCAACGGAAGTATGGTGTGGAGGTTGGGAGTGGGGGAATACCATCGACTACCTTTTGCGTTTTAACTAGTGTGCTTGGAGAGATATGGCCGTACCTTTGGTGCCATAGTTCCAGGTTCTTTAGTGCTTTCGATAGTCCTGTTGACCATGTTTTGGTTTCAGGGACATTCTTGCAAACTTTGTTGCACGCCTGTCGAGTTTTCGATGCCGCTGTTTTGTATTTCTGCAGCGCTGTTTCGATGTGTATGTTCTCCAATTCGTTAACGACCATTACCTTGTTTGTGGTGTACCAGAGTCCATTGTTGAGGCTTACTGTTTGGATTGATTCGATAGTTTGGTTAAGCTTGTTTATGAAACTAACTGTTCCTTTGCTGTTTGCTTGTCCTGTGTGCAGGAATGCGTAGAATCTACGTGATTCCCGGTAGTGTTCTGGTGATATGATTGTTCCTGTTGACTGGGGCGTATAAAGTGCTTTCCAACGCATGATAGTTCCTTGGTCTGAGATTATGTGTATATGGCCCTCACCATATGCTTGCAATGCTTTTTCCGGAGTAGCATCGTTAGAGAATACCCCAACTGGTAGTGGGGAGTTATATTGTCTATAGTCATGAAGAAGTTGAAGTTGATTCGTGGCTGACATGTTAGCCCCTGAGTCGGCCTGTGGTGGTTGGGCCATTGAATCTTGTGCTGACGTGGTCGCAATCATTATTTGTTTGCGCATATTCTTTCTAAGTGTAGGGTGTGTCATCCTAATGTATGGTAGACGGGTATCGTACTCAGCTGCGAGGGAGTCAGAGTAGAATGTGAAGGGGGTGAGGTCATCTGCACATGGGTGACATTCAGGGTTATTCATGTCTGTATATTCCAGGTTATTACACTCTCCGCATTGGGTTTTCGTTAGTACCGCTTGTAGTGTGTATTTGAACGCTCCTGTGGTACTGGGCCTATATTGGGCGTGGGACTGGTCTTTGTCATTCTGCGTGGGTCGTAGGCTTTGCGGACATTGAGTACTACTGTAAGTTTGATCGATATCTTCTTGTTGTACTGGATATTCATCGTGGAGCTTGGTTACTGGTGTTATAGTACTATCAGTGTTGCTTGTCGGTATAGTACTATCATTGTTGCTTGTTGCTGTATGTTTGTCGATTGGGGATGACAATGGTGGGTATTTCTCGTGTTCATCATGTGTGTTGGTAGTGTGTTGTGTTGTGGCGTTCGTATCTGTTCTTGGGGTCCCAGTCGTCCATGTTGCGCAGTGTGAAAAGACATCGTTGTCGTGTGGTGTGGTGCGAGGGATTGGGAGACCTCGATGATCCAAGCTGTTGCTATTGAATTCATCCTGGCACGTTGGGGGATCGTGATTGTGCTTGATAGGCCGAGCTCTGCTAAGAACCCGGCGTTCATCCTATTCATTTGGGGATGTGACGGTGGCGAATAGTTGGGCTAGGTCTTCCCTTTCGCGTTCGTGTTCCTCTTTCGTAATGTGTCGGCCTTTGAGGGAGCTTTCAAAATGATTTACCACTTTCTTTGTGTGCATGTTGTTGTGTTTAATGGCATTCATTTTGAATTCCGTTGGTTGAGTTGTCGCGAACTGTTGAGCATAGTGGAGTTGCGCCCCAAAACGACAGATTTGATCTCCGACGTTGTGTCCATACGTTTTACAACAGCTACATTGGACCTTGTTTTTGTATTCAAACTTCTTGCTTTTGTTTGCTTCGAGCTTCGTGATAATTGTCGGTGTTTGTTGTTGAGCTGGCGGAGTGATATTAGGGTGATCCAGGATAAAGTTGGTGAGTGCTGTGAGCTGTAGGTGTTCGGGGACTGGTTTATTTCGAAAGTTTGGTGTCAGTCGCCGGTGGTTGTCCAGTTGAACGAGGAGACAGCATCCAGCAGTGTAATTAAAGTGTGTCATTGCTTGGTATACTAACTCGTGGCTTTGCTCAAATTCAGTGTATTGATGGTTTCGGCTGAGGCGGCTGGTCCTGACATGTTCTTGCAGTTTGCCCACATATGTGCCGGGATCATCCGTTGCTGTCCATTCCGGTCCCCAGCCATTTTGTGTTGGCTTTAAGTAGTCCAGAGAGTGACGGGCTAATGCATACAGTGCTTCAAATCCCCTGCTGTCTTGTGCATAAGGGGAGATGAGTCCCCTTAAGAGAGTGTGGGTGGGAGGGAGCAGTCGTGAGATTCTGCGGTATATATAAGCTCCAATCTTGGTAATGTTCTTCTCTGTTTCTGTGTGGTTGGGGGGTATACAGGTTTCTAGATCCGGGAGTTTATCCAGTGGGACTAGAGGAAGGCTTTCCAGTTGCATCATTCCGTATAGTTCGTTGTATATGGCTGTGAATTCAGTGGAGGTCAGATACCGATTTGTGGTTGGAATCAGGTTGTGGTTAAAGTCTTTGAAGTCCATTGCATGTATTGCTTTGCTGATTCGGTGATTGTGATAATGGGTAGATTTTTCATCCCAAATTTGGTGTTTCCTCTCCGTATATATATCGAAATTCTTATCGCTATCACCCCTCGAGTCAAATGGTAAGGGACTGCTGAAGGTGTGTCCGTCAGTGGCTGAGGAGGAGTGATACTTGTTGGTATGTATATTTTTGTTTTGGTCTTCTTTTCGGTGATTTTTATTTTGTTTTTCTGGTTGCTGGTTGCTTGTTGTGTTGCTAATGATGTCGTGAACCTGATGTTGAAGTAAGTTCTTCAGGTCCGTTGATTGAGTTATATATGTATGGATTGTTGCATCAATATCTGTTCTGAAGGTACTGGACGATACCAACGATTTGATGGAGGAGTTGATTTGGGTGTTAATGGTTTCTTCTACCATTGGGTCTGTTGCAAGGTGTTCTTTAACAGTTTGTGAGATGTCTGCTTCAGCTATGTGTTTGGTGATTGCTATGTTTTCCTGGGCTGCTGAGGCTGACTGGTCCATTGCAAGTGTGATGTCCTGTTTGTGTGATGTAAGTTTTGCTAGGTGGTTGTTGCAGATCTGTTGAAGGTTGTTCTTTGTCTTCGTTAGGTCATTGTTAACTTCTTTAATGGTCTCTGTTGCTTGTGATACTATTTCACGTTTTGCCTGTGAAATTACTGTATCTTTAAGGCTCTGGACAATGTGTGCTTTGTGTTCTAACTTGTTTTGGATGATGTCATCGATGGTGGACTCAAGTGTGGATTCCATCAGTCTTGTTTGTTCCAGGACAGCACTTGTAACTTGGATTTCGATTGCCTTGGTTTGTTCCCTCAGTTTCTCTGTACTCTGTTCAACGATTACATTGAGTTGATCCGTGAGTTCTGCTGTGATGGTTGGTGTTCTGGTGGTAATACTGCTTGCTTCATCACAGAGGTGTTTTAGTTGAATGGTTTCGTTTTTGATTGAGGCAAGTACTGTGGTTGCTTTTGTTGTACGTTGATCCAGTGCCCATGTTGTGGTTGCTGCTGCATTGAGATTACTCTGGAGGTCCGTGCTAATGTTGAGTACTCCCTGTATTTCTGTTGTTTGTTCGTTCAGTTGGGTCTTCAGAGTGTTGACTGTTTGTAAAGCAGCTTGAAGGTTGGCTGTTGTTGTGTCCAGTTCAGCTTTGGTGGCGTGTAATATTTCTTTGGTGTTGGCCAACTCAGTTGTGGTGGATTGAATAGCCTTCTCGTATCCTGTCTGCAGCTGAAGGATTTGTTTGTCTATTGTGGTGAGTCGTTGATTCCATTTTTCATCATTTGCTTTGAGTTGGTCTTCCAGTGTTGGTGTTTTGGGATCATTAGTATCGAAGCTGTCTTTAATGGATTGTATCTCACTGTCAATGGTTTCATACTGTCTCTCGTACTGTGTTATTCGCTCCTCAATGCTATCTTCCGGATCTGTTATGTGTTCTTCCGGATCGTCCTGTGCAGGGTGTTTGGTTAAGTGGCTTTCCTGTTCTTTGGCATATTTCTTGATAAGTTCGGCTGGTGGTATGCCTATAGAGCTGAGCGATGATTCGCTATCGCTTACCGTTGATTCCTGCTGGGATGTGGGGTTAATGGTTAGTTTGTTGAGTATTTGTTGTCTGATTTCTTCCCTAGAGGGTGGGTCTGGGCTGCTCGCAAGGTGTGGGGGAGGTTTAGATTGTCTCCGGGCTGGTACTGCTTCTGGTGGTGTTTCTCGTGTGGGTGGAAGCATTGTATTCATATAGTTTAGAAAGGCGACACTGTAGTGGTATCGTGTGTCTTTGTCGATTATTTTGAAGTGGTTCCTGTGGAGGAGGTCGCTGAGGTTATCACCGAGTGCTGTTATCTTGTCGGTACTGTTGAGTTCCTTGGTGTGGATAACAGTAAGGTGTGTCATATAGCTCGTCGGTGATGGTGGGTATTTAGGTTTAAATGCAAAGAGTTCTTTCTCGTATATTGCCGGTGTTGATTGAGGGGGAAATACTCTTTCAAGGGCCCTGAGCTCTCGTTGAATTGTCCCATCATATGGGATAAGTTTGAGGCTCGTCGGTGAATTGGGTTGGCGGGGAGGAGTTTTTACCAGGTATTTTCCTATTTCTGGGGTTTTGGATTTACGAGTGCTCTTGTTTCCTCCACCATTTCCTGGTGTTGTCGACCTCTTCTTTGTCGGTGCCATGGTGGTGTGCTGTTGTTGCGGTTACTGGTTACTATTGCTGGTACTGGTAGTTTTGTTGACACCAGTGTTCTGAGAATTCGTATCGTAGGAGTCTACGTGATTTTATACTGGGTTCTCTTCCGGGAATTTTGTTGCTGTCGGAAAATTCAGCCGGACGTCGACTCAGCGTGAAAGCAGTGCTTGGGGTTCAAGCAGCGCTCTGCAGCGGAGAAGTTAGAAAATCAATCTATTGGGTTGTTATACTGGTGATGGTGATGAGCTGAGGTATGTCTGTTGTTGCTCATAACCTGCGAAATGCTGATAGGCTCTCTAGTGTATGATAATACGTKGTTTACAATAAAGAGTGAGTGGATTGCTGTCACTCACTATCTACTCGTGATTTACTACGTGGTACTGTCTCACAAGCACAACCAATGTGAAATATTGATAAACCTGGACACCAATTCGAACGCAAATTTCGAGCCTCACACAAATCGAAAAATCCGAAACGAAGTTCATGTTCCCGATTCCCATGCTCTACGAGTACCAGCACAAGGAACATGACTGATTCGGGAGAAGCCCTTCTTTGTCTAATCACCGGGCCTTCTGGATCAGGAAAGACGTCTCTCGCATTGGAGGTTCAGAAGCGTCTCATAACGGACGAGAGAATAACAGAAACTGAACTCGCCACGTCCGTGGTTGTGATCCATCAGGACAATTACTTCACAAAACCATTTCTTCCGTACAAAGATCGAACGGACGATTCGTACGAAAACAGCTCCGGAATCGATTGGAATCGCCTCGTGGCAGACATTGAATCCCATGTCATGTTGTGTTCTCAAAGTTTGCGGAAGGACAATGCTGACACAAATGGTTTTGGCACCGAGAACAAAACAAGTATGAAAAAAATCATCATCGTGGAAGGCCACCTCTTGGGGGATGCCGCTGAAATCCTTCGAGAGAGGTTCCTCGACGATGAAAAGATCTTGGGAAGTCCTGCTATCGGCAATGCCTACCTTGATGCTCGTGTTCGCGTTGATATTCTGGCTGTTCTGTTGGTTGGTTGCTCTCCCGCAACCTGCAAGCAACGGAGGCTCCAGCGACGAAYGGACCGAAGCGAYGACGAAAGAATCCAGCTGGCGGAGTACATCGACGCCTACGTATGGCCTAGTTTTCTAACGTACGGAGTCGATGCGACGAAAAAGATGAAACGGGAACTAGGGGTTGGGGATCTCTCTGGTTCGGATTCACAATCACTGCAACACAGTGCTTCGTCATCCTCTAGTTTCTTCCTTGAAATCAACAACTCGGGAACTTCAAGGCTTAGCGCAAACGYCGGAATCATCTCGAAGAAAATCGAGGAAATTATTCTCTCMGACCGAGAAGGAGGCATAGTTAGGTAGATGGGTGAGAATTTGATTTCACTATTTCATCTGGATGGAAATCAGGATTTCGCATGGTGACAAAATAGAAGAGAGGATTCTTTTCCGTGAAAGTAGCTAGCAAGGCAAGCGAATCCATGAGAAAATTAAATAACTTGCCATGTTGAATGGAGTTTACGCAGTGATCGGGGTACCGAATACAGAGCACCGGTGTGAACATCAACAGTTCTTCCACTGTTTGTGATATCCATAAACAGTATAGTGAAGGAATCAATCAAAGGAGCAAAAACATCATTCGGTAGAGTGTGGTCGAGAGGGGTGGGATAAGAGATATTTCACAAACTCCGGCCAAACGGTATGAAGAGTGGGAACAATAACGACAGCATCAATAGACCCATGGTACCATTCTACGACCAAACCTTTGAGGTAGCAACAACGTTTACCTGTAAGAATGCGCCGGGGCAGAACAAAAAGACGAGKCAACAAGTTCTACATTGGTGTATTATTGGATAGCGTTCTGTTGTTGCCGGTCTTGCCAACAATTGCAAGTTGTTTGATGCGTGCGGATGCCAACATCGAGTGACAGAACAGGTGTCACTGAATCAACGAATGCTCTGCATGTCTCCATGYCCAACAACTGAATCGACTGCCTTGCTTCTTGTTGCGAGAAGAACAGAATCTGACATTGTGCCTCAACGCTGTAAGATACTGCTTGTACAGCAGTGCGGATTTCATGGTCGTGAAATATACTAAGAGTCGGCGTTCTTAGTATTCTTTTGCTGCTTTCTAAGCAGAATGCCAAGCAGTAGTGTCGAAACAAAATTGACGATTTGAATCCAGAACCAACGTGTTCTTGCATCCATGCATTCATAGATGTACAATTCTATGTCATGCTGGTTGTTCTTGCTCAAAGTGGTCCAGTGATCCCAAGGAAGCTATGGTACAGAAACTGAAATAACGAACAGGGACAATTCCAATGGAACGGAGATAGACGGTTCTTCTTTGCAAGCTTGACTGAAGAGGAGAGTTGCTTCTTCTAATATTTCTGTGGAGGTCTTCTTGGAGGTAATACAGGGAGTAGCAGTTGCTGAGGTCTAACAGGGCCCAGTAGTTAAGTCTTTTAATGGGAGGGCCAAGCAGGCAGCTCCTTAACGTAGGCCAGCGTCTATTATTGTAACTATTCTTGGAATTGATTTCTATTTTGATTTTATACCATTGGGTGATTCCTATTATTATAGATGTGCTAAACTGGTAAATTTAGCACTTTTATTACTTATATTATAACAGGAATCAATTTTTCAATGGACAGACAACAAGGAAGGCAGGCTTCACTCATCTCTTTTTTGCAATCTGGAATCTTGACTATACTTCAACGTAATGCRATAAGGCAATGTGGTTCTTACAACAATAGGACATTGCCATCAATCAATACAATAGCGACTGTACCCTTCTTACCCGCCACCATGGTCCCGTGGTGTTCTTGATTCATTTGTGTGTGATTCCTTGACCTTTGATCTTAGATTAGCAGCAAATAGCTAGTTTATTCAGTGCACTACTAGTATTCAAATAATGAATAGCTACGGCTGCTTTRACTGTTGCTGCATTTTCTGCTTTTGCTGCTTTTTCATACAGAATAGAGTACTACTAGCTTCTACAAAATAGTTGTAGCATCTAGGTTTTCATGTAACAAAACTGGGATTAGAAAGTGTTTGACGCATGTGTGCAATCCCACAAAAGAGGGTTTGCTTTGCCCAACAGCTGTCATTGATTKCCAGCAACCACATGCATTCTATTGTCCATWAGTTTTCATCACTGTATTATGATTTATAACGCATTGCTCCATCTTAGAGATTTAATCAATAATTTAATCAATATTCTTCATTTCAGGATATACATCAAATGTAATCCCAGGTAAGTGTTTCAGAAAGGMATATGTGAAAACCACAAAACGGTAGGATCTGGTGGAACAAGTACTACCATCTACAGCATCTGTAACAACAAACTGTTGTTGCCGACTGCTCAAGCTAGTTAGTAGCTAGTTAGTTCATTTAATTTAATTAGTGTAGTAACAACTGAGCAGTTTAGTTGAAGTTTAATTGGTTAAAGAATGCCTGTTTCCTTCTCATCACCATGGGATTCCTCTCATTGCTGCTGGCATTGCTGTTTGCGCAGAGGAGGCTGTGGTGTGGAAGTGTACAGAGGAGGAGGCTGAGGTGAGGACATGTACAAATGGTTTGCTGGATGCTGCAGAGGAGGACCATGGTGTGGATGACAATGGTAAGCATTGTGTTGTTGCAGCTGATTGAACATGGTAAAGGCAGCTCCTAGAAAATCCTTTGCAACCTCCTTTGMAGCCCCAACGGTGTCCTTCCACATCCTCTCACAATTCTCTTTGTCTCTTTCTTGCTGGCTCCTAATATACTCATTGAATGCTGCAGCATCTGGAACACTTGATTTCTTGTGCTGGTAGGATCTCTTTTTGGGGATAGGAGTGGAATGTACAACAATTGAAGGTGTCCAGACAGAAGAAGATGATCCTGGCGTTGCTCCACCAACAGGTGAGGACACTTCAGCAGATGATGCTTCTTGGGCAAGAATAATCAATGGTTCTTCAGCTACTTCAGCAAGAATACCAGCAGGGACACCAGTTTTGGTGGGCACTGAACCCTTCAGAGCCTCACTCTTGATGAAGCCTTGCTTCAGATCAAAGTCCTCCTCCCCAGTACCAAGATTTTCCTTCTGACCAATCAAGATATGRGCCTGGCATGCCACCTTCACGTACTCCAGCATATTTGGATTCCCAGTTGAGCTCTTGATCCTCTTTACAGCTCCATGCTTAGTCTTGATGGATGTCTGGCTTCTAAAGAAGGGCCACAATTTTGTTTGATCATTCACTACTACTACTAGACTATCATGAGATCCTAGTCGTTTCCACTAATGGGAAGCCTCTCGAGAATCATGCTCATGAGACTGTGTAGCTCATTATGAGATTAGTTTGCTACTCCAGCCTGCCAGTGTTGTTGTTGCCATTGCCTGTCATCTTGTTGTTTAATACAAAAATAGTGTGTGGGGGGGGGAGGAGCACTGGACCGGGGGTCCTCTTTCTTTGTTCTTTTGGTCGTTGCCAGCCTCCAACTCTTCCTCTTCTTGTCGATACTCCTCTCTTTGCTGCACCAACAATAAAAGGAAATAGAATGTACTGACTAAGAGTACCAACCAGACATTTTTTATGTGTCTTGATAGTTAATATGTCACAGAGGCACCACCATGGTGCCATTGTTCCTCCTCTTGTTGTTGATAGTAGAGAAGGTGCCTGCTTGTCTCTTGTTGTTTAGGAAGAATAAGTCTTAATTTTGGCGGGCCTTTGTTCTGTTGAGTCTTTCAACAGACTCAAAATTTTGAATCGGAGTTCCATCATATATTACATTTGATAGCACCAGTTTGACTTCTATSAAACACAATAAATTTTGATARWTGTGCTAAATTTTCCGTCTGTCAGTCTACCAGAAGTAGCACATCACTCATCATTCAGCAATACGGATTCAAATATTGGGYGATTCCCRTTAATCTAGATGGTCTACTTTTTGACAGACAGACAGACCAAAAATAGACTTTCTAGTCYGAATTTTTAGACTTTCTGTCAACGCACAATCCACCCTTGACAGAAAGTCTAAATCTAGACCGGAATCCAAGAATGAAAATCCATTGTAGGACTCAACTGAAAAGACCCGCCAAATTTAAGACTTAAAATTTTTTACTACACCATGGAAGGAAGAAGACATAAACACAGAAACAAAGATGTCGAGATTCCAAATTCCTTTATGACCAGAATGAGCGCCTAAAAATGTCTGTTGGGCCCCTGTTTTTAATGATTCCCGTTAAACTAAAAAGTCTAAACGGTCTACTTTAGACTTTTAGACCATCTAGATTAACGGGAATCACCCATTACACGGATTTCAAAAAAGTGCTCGGAAAGCTTTGAATTAGCAAATCCGGTGGACAGAAATAGTTTTAAAAAAGGTGACAACTTTCTGTTGAGGTACGTACCGACCGGTACGAAGGAAGTCCAATTACTTCGAATTGACGCTATTATTCCACGTGTAGGGAACCTATTCCGTCTAATTCTCTTTGAAAAACTCGTGCTGTGTCTGCATGTACACAACGTGGCAGTTCGAAAATAATAATTGAAAAGTTCCTTCAGAGAAAATCCGACCAAATTTCGATTTTCATTCATTGAGCATTAAAACGAATTGACATTTCCGAAACACGTCACTAGACAACGGTTGAAATCAGTTCGAACAGCTTGTTGTGGGGATAGATACTTGTGTTCGTTTTTTAAGGGACTATTCTTGATTCTTGTAGAACAGTTCCTTACGTATATTAAACAATTATGACATTAACCGTAGTGCGAACAACGGTCAGTATTCCGAAAAACTTTGCCACCTCAACTTGAGAAGCCAATTAGTTCTGCTTTCTGTGCGGAAGCTTGACAACATCCGCCCGTACGAATTTTGGCATTGACAACATCCGCCCGTACGAATTTGGCATATTCACAATTTCATTTTGTTCAGAAGCAAACCAAAGTTCGTATGAACGTCGATTGCRAACAAGTGCGTGACATYACACCCCGRTTACAGYATATTCGTCTTTCGAAATCATATTTTACGGTAGTCCACAATGCCAACCATGAAACGAGTTRTCAGCGCGCCTCAACTGCACCCACGATTTGGGACACAGAGTTTCCAAATGCGCGTCGAGAAGATCAACGACCTCGGTCCCCTTCTCGAGCACAAGGAATATGGGACAGAATCACCGCAGGCGGTTCGCACGCCGTCGAATGAGTCAGATAAATACGGTACAGAGCCAACAGATGACGAAGATTACGGATTCTACGACGCTATCGATGGCAACCAGGAAGATAGCGAACGAAGCAGCACAACAAGCTCACTTCAAGATGAAATTCAAAATTCAACTCCCTCCGCAGAAATAGCTTCAGGTCGGCCTTCAAGGCGGCGGTCTAGTGGGAAAAAATCCTCCTTAAAACAAAGATCCTCTTATGGAGAAGATTTCATTCCATTGGATTTCGAACGAAAAGAATTTAATCGGGTTTTGCCAAAGCCCGATTTATCACAGCGAACGCGTGTTCCTGAGGGTGMGTCGACTGAAAAGGCAAACGGAATGATTCGCAGCAGCAGCTCGGGACTATTTCGAGTTGTATCAGAACCTATTCTGTTTCGTCCTATTTACCAGGAGCAGTTTGATATTGATGATTTGTCTTCCAACAACGAAGGAGGGAGATTAGAAAATTCCGACGCTTCAAACAGCGATGGGAATGCGTTAGATAATTCTGATTCGTCATTCGTGGAAGGTGCGATGAAGAAGCGTATCTCCTTTGGCACAATTCAAATCAGGGAGCATTCGGTAACCATTGGGGATAATCCATCTTGTAGCTACGGGGCGCCAATCCAACTTGATTGGAAGCACGAAGATATGGAAGATTTGAAGGTAGAGGATTACGAGGCCTACCGTCCGAAAACGAGAACGAAAGATAAACTCTATTTGAGTCACTTCAAGAGAATGGATTTGCTAAAACAAAGCGGTCATTCTACCAGCGAAATCAAAGAGTCAAGACGTAAGACAAAGAAACACCGAAATCAACGTGAGTGGACCAAGTTTGTTGTAATGAATTATCCTACGGTATCAACTATGGAAGACGCCATAGAGTCGGGCATCCGAAAGATGAAGAGGTCGCTATCCAAATCCAGCTTGGGTAGCAAAGAAGATATACCGAGAGTTAGCAGTAAGGACGACATGAACGTCATCAGAGATAAAGCACTCCTTCTGGATATGATAGACAACGACGGTTCAAACGCTACTGCTCCGTTTTAGATGACTTCCTTCTTAYTAACTTACAGCAACGACCGCTACTAAGAGGAAAATAGAATAATGGTATAGAAAGAATATACATAATATGGATAAGTAAGCCTAGCTTGTGCTCCTCGATCCTTCAATCCAGATAATCAATCAATTTTAAAGCTAATGGTCTCAACAGAGCTTCAAGGCAAAAAAAAAGCAAGTACAAGTACGAGTACCGTTACTCGTACGTACCCAGATACCGTTCGTAATTCGTAATCCTCCCTTTCATTCAGGAAAATATTTCTTCGCGCGGTTTCGCGCACAAAATTACGTAACCGAACAGAACATTCCTTCCCGTTCAGTACTGTAGTACGTTTTCGTAGCTACAGGACATACGTACGGTACGATCAGTTCTTTCGCTAGGTGACGAAATACTGGAATTTATGGTTTTCGAGAGAGGAACAGAAAAATATTCGAAGACGTGTTTTTSACGTGCTGCGGACATCATTTTCGAGTAAAACTCAGCCCTCAACAGACATTGACAGACATCCTAGTAGTTTTCGAATCACAACATCACTCTGTCAATTTGACCTGACCAACACTCGTTATTGAATACATTCTTTTTGATCCTGTGTATATATGAGCGGGTGCGTTGTAGGAGATTCCCGGTCCTAGACTTTTTTTTCTGAAGGCAAAAGAAAACATTTTTTTCCTGCTGCCGTCGTATTTTCTGAACTTGAGGTGCTACTGTCAATATTTGATTTCGTCGCGAAAAGAAGCCAAGAGGCCAGTGTTCATATACGACGGATTCAAAAAATAAAACTACTGAAACTATAGAACAAAATGATGCACGATGGTGGCACAATGCACCACTTGATCGCCGCAACTCTGGCGGTCTTTGCTGGGTCCATCGTTGAAGCCATTCTAGGGTTTGGTTGTTCCCTTGTGTGGATGTCCTTCTTTCCCTTGTTTACGACGATTCCGGATGCGGTAGGAGTCTTGCAACCGATGCATATTGCCCTGAACACGATCCTTTTGGCAAGCACGTGGAGGCAGTGTACCCCGAACGCACTGAAACCCTTGGCAATGACCGTTCCGTTCGGGATTGTGTTCGGACTGTGGATTGTTACTTCGTGGTCTTCCAATGCCATTGATTGCGTTCTCGGAATTTTTCTGATTGTGTACACATTTTTGAAGAATGACGAGCATGAGGAGCCCGCAGATCATAGCGAAGCGCCAAAAAATCCAAAGCATCATGGTTTTGGACGAAAAACAAGCGATCTCACCCTGGCGCCTCTAGAGGAGGTGTTAATGGAGGAAGAGAAAAAGGATGATAGCCAGGACACTCGACCACCGTCACCTATTGCGGAAGAAGTGCCGCACGTGACGGAGACGATATCTCCCTTGACCCATCGACATACGATATCCGTGGCGGCCAGCAACCACAACGTGCCCAGTGCCAATACGTCGACGTCAATAGCAAAATCCAACAGCTCGACTAGCAGCAGTACCACCACTAGGAAAAGCATGCTACAGAACCCCACTGCAATTTGCGCTGGAMTGGTTGGTGGAGCCCTCATGGGGGCCTTTGGGACCGGTGGGCCGGCCTTTTTGATCTTTGCACGGGAGRCCGGATGGCAGAATCAACCTGAGCTCTTTCGGGCCAACCTGCAGCTATTATTTTTCGTCATTAACGTGCCGGTTTGCCTATCGCAATACGCAGAGGGGATCATAACCTATGAGCGGTGCAAGGCCAGTAGCTATCTGCTGCCGGCCCTCTTCGCTGGAGGATCCTTTGGGAGGGTCCTCGCCACCAAGGTCCCCCGGGACAAGTTCCAGATCCTGGTGGTGAACGGACTGCGGATCATGGGGATGATGTTTCTGATCGAGGCAGCGCGGCCCGAAGAGTGAGTCAAAGGAGACGGGCATCAAGGATGTGAAAATGGCAACGATTGGACAATCTGAGGGATGGTTTACTGATATGTGTCAATCCTTGCGAGTCGTCCCATGAATGGGTTTTGTACATTTTTCCTCACATTATGTTGTGGCGAGACCCACAGCACCGCTGATCGCATATGAGCAAGATCCACAAGCTACTACCAGAACAGTGTTCGATGATCCAAACGATAAGCATGTTCCGCGGGAATGCAACTAAAGCTACGATTAAGATTCTGAAGTTACGGTTGTGRTTCAKGTACTGTGTAATACCACTTTCAAAATTTTATGAAAAATTGCAGTTTCACAAAGTTGGAATTCTTTTCTTGATTGATTGTCCTTGCAATGGTTGTTACTCCGCTGATTTGATGCCGAGATTGAATTTTTGGAGTGTCTGAAGTTATTTTCATTGCAGTCATTAGTTCACAATGATTACTACTAGTATCAAAAGGAATTACATTGGAAGTACTTCCATGTTAGTTTTTTTTGTGGGTTGATGCCAGRATAGAACAATCATGGTCCTATTTTCCACCTTGCTTACCGTAGGGTACCGTAAGGTAGAATGCTTTCGTCAATCCGAGTTTCAACACGGAAGACGAATCGCAAGCTCGAAGAAAAACGTCCCGGAAACCATACAAAAGCAACTTCGAACCGTCGATTCCTGTTAAGACGAGTCCGTCTTAGTATCTACGTACGTACCGTACGTTCGGTAGGATGTCCCACAAGAGATACGTACTGGTAATGGGTACGTACGAGTACGTACTTGACG